TCAAGTGGATTCCGACTCACAGTGACCCGAAGTAACAGAGTGGAACTACCCCACAGGGTTTTCTTGGCTGTAATCTTCACAGAAGCAGATCCCCTGGTCTCTCTCCCTCGAAGCCACTGGTGGTTTTAAACTGCCAACCTTTCGGTTACCCGTTTGCACCACCAGGGCTCCTCATGTACCTACTACCACAATCAACATACCAAACATTTGTATTACCCCAAAAAGGTCTCTTGTGCCCCTTTCGAATCACCCCTCCCTCTTTTCCTAAGCCCTGGCAACCAGTGATCTCTTGTTTATCCCTAGACCTATAGTTTTGTCTTTTCCAGAATGACAAATGAAATCATTCACATGTACTTCATTTTTAATATAAAAACCTGTAAAACTTGTTGCCGTCGATTCCAACTCATAGTGACCATTCAGAACAGAGTAGAACTGCCCTTCATAGAGTTTCCAAGGAGTGGCTGGTGGATTTGAACTGCTGATCTTTTGGTTAGCAGCCTTAACGCTTAACCACTGTGCCACTAATGCTCCAATATAAAAAGAATATGTGCTAATTGTGAAGAAATTAAACAGTAAATGATGTAAAAAGTAAAAATGCTATTATTAACTATGAACAGTTCAGTGTTTACCTTGACAGAATGTTTTCTATGTACATATACATTATATATGTATGTATTAAAATATATACTGTTAGGCATCTTACTTTCTTAGCATAATAATATATGGAGGTCTGTGCCCTCTGCAAAGTAGAAGCTACAAGAGAAGAGAGTCACATAAACAGCTCTTAAACTGTAATAGGAAGCAGATGTGTAAACTGGTGGGAAGCCCAGATGTGGCTCCTCCTATAATCTACCAGAGTCATCTCTTAAAAACAAAATCTTTTCACTCCTCTGATTAAACCTCCAATGCCTTCCCATTGTACACTGAATAAAATCCCAAGTCCCCACCCTAGCCTACAAGCTCCTGCATCAATGTCTGCCACTTTCCCCAACACTAAGTAAGCTCCAGCCACCTTAGCCATCTGGTCCTTGAATAAGCTCTTTCCTAACCCGGGGCCCTGCATCACCCAGCTAAATAAATCTTCCCTGGTATTCTCTCCTCTTACCTTTTTGTGATCAAACATGCAATCAAGATGCATTGATAATTACTGGTGATTGGAATTCGAAAGTTGGAAACAAAAAAGGATCAGTAGTTGGAAAATACAGCCTTGGTGATAAAAACAAGGCAGGAGATCACAATAGAATTTTGTAAGACCAACAACTTATTCATTGCAATTACCTTTTTTCAACAACATAAACGGCAACTATACGCATGGACCCCGTCTGAAGGAATTCACAGGAATCAAATCGACTACATCTGTGGAAAGAGACCATGGAGAAGCTCAAAATCATCTGTCAGAACAAGACCAGGGGCCAACTGTGGAACAGACCATCAATTGCTCATATGCAAGTTCAGGTTGAAGCTGAAGAAAATTAAAACATGTCCACAAGAGAAAAAGTATGAACTTGAGTATATCCCATCTGAATTTGGAAACCATCTCAAGAATAGATTTGACACATTAAACACTAATGACCAAAGACCAGACAAGTTGTGGGATGACATCAAGGACATCGTACATAAAGAAAGCAAAAGGTCATTAAAAAGCACAAAAGAAAAAAGAAAAGACCAAACTGGATGTGAGAAGAGACTCTGAAAGTTGCTCTTGAGCATAAAGTAGCTAAAGTGAAGGGAAGAAATGATGAAGTAAAAGAGCTGAAGAAGATTCCAAAGGGTGGCTTGAGAAGACCAAGTAAAGTATTATAATGAAATGTGCAAAGACCTGGAGTTAGAAAACCAAAAGGGAAGAACACACTTGGCATTTCTCAAGCTGAAAGAACTGAAGAAAAAATTCAAGCCTCGAGTTGCAATATTGAAGGATCCTATGGACAAAAATCATTAATACCACATGCAATATCATTAATATCAGACGCAAGTAAAATTTTGCTGAAGATCATTCAAAAGCGGTTGCAGCAGTACATCAACAGGGAATTGCCAGAAATTCAAACCAGATTCAGAAGAGGACGTGGAATGAGGGATATCATTGCTGATGTCAGATGGATCCCGGCTGAAAGCAGAGAATACCAGAGAGATGTTTACCTGTGTTTTATTGACTATGCAAAGACATTCAATTGTGTGGATCATAACAAATTACGGATAACATTGTGAAGAATGGGAATTCCAGAACACGTAATTGTGCTATGAGGAACCTGTTCATAGATCAAGAGGCAGTCCTTCAGACAGAACAAGGGGATACTTCATGGTTCAAAGTCAAGAAAGGTGTGCTTCAGGGTTGCATCCTTTCACCACACTTATTCAATCTGTATGCTGAGCAAATAATCCAAGAAGCTGGACTATATGAAGACGAAAGGGGCATCAGGATTGGAGGAAGACTCATTAACAATCTGCGTTACGCAGATGACACAACCTTGCTTGCTGAAAGTGAAGAGGACTTGAAGCATTTACTGTTGAAGGTCAAAGAATACAGCCTTCAGTATGGATTACACCTCAACATAAAGAACACAAAAATCCTCACAACTGGACCGGTAAGCAACATCATGATAAATGGAGAAAAGATTGACACTGTCAAGGATTTCATTTTACTTGGATCCACAATCAACACCCGTGGAAGCAGCAGTCAAGAAATCAAAAGACGCATTGCATTGGGAAAATCTGCTGCAAAAGAACCTTTTAAAGTGTTAAAAAGCAAAGATGTCACTTTAAGGACTAAGGTGTGCCTGACCCAAGCATGGTATTTTCAATTGATTCACACGCGTGTGAAAGCTGGACAATGAATAAGGAAGACCAAAGAGTTGATGCATTTGAACTATGGTGTTGGTAAAGAATACTGACTATATCATGGATTGTCAGTAGAGTAAACAAATCTGCCTTGGAAGAAGTTTAGCCAGAAAGCTCCTTAGAAGCAAGGATGGCGAGACTTCATCTCACTTACTTTGGACATGTTATCAGAAGGGACCAGTCCCTGGAGAAGGACATCATGCTTGGTAAAGTAGAAGGTCAGTGAAAAAGAAAAAGACCCTCAACAAGATGGATTCACACAGTGGCTGCAATACTGGGCTCAAACATAGCAACGGTTATGAGGATGGCGCAGGGAGGAGCATTGTTTTTCGTTCTGTTGTACATAGGGTCACTGCGGGTCGGAACAAACTAGATGGCATCTAATAAGAACCCTTATGTGCATTTTTTTTATGGTCTCTTTCCCACTGTAGATTGTAAACTCCCTAAAGATATTGTCTTATCCATCAGTATGTACCCAGCACCTAGCACAGGGCTTGGCACACAATGAGCACTCCCTCAATAAATATTTGTTGAATAAATGAATGTACATTTAAACTGGGTCTTATAAAAGATGGTAAGGAATGTGTGATGGTTAAGGTTGTGTGTCAACTCGGCTGGGTCATGATTCTCAGTGGTTTGATAGTTGTATGATGATGTGATCACTTCCACTATGAGACTGGATATTATGTGATCACCTCCATGATGGGATCTGCTGTGAGTAGCCAATCAGTTGAAAGGGAGTTTCCTTGGGCATGTGGCCTGCATTGAAGTAAGTGGATATTCTAGCAAGGCTTGTGGACTTTTTGCTTCTTTTCCACCCTGCAGCTGGCTTCTGTTCAGCTGACCTCCAGTTCTTAGGACTTGAGCTAGCAGCTTACCTGCAGTCTTGCGTGTTGATCTTTGGGATTTGTCAGTCTTCACAGCCTGAGAGCAAGAGCCCTACTCCCCGACCTGCCAATCTTGGGTTCGCCAGCCCCTGTGGCTACATGCATCAGGAGAAGCCTCTATCCTGACCCACGGACTTGGGACCTTCCAGCCTCTACAACCACGTGAGCCATTTCCTTGATATAAATCTCTCTCTGTAGATATAGATATATATATGCTTTATTGGTCTTGCTTCTCTAGAGAACCTAAGACAGAATGCAACAAGAACAAAGTGGTAAGCAGACCCCAAGGAGAACGAGGAGTGCACTGGCAGGGAGATATGGCTAGAAAGATGGCTTAGAGCCTAATGGTGAAGGGGCTTTGAATCTGAGAATTCGGATTTGGTGGCAGTGTAGAAGGTGATAATTTATGGTGGTAATGCCTAAAGGCGGGGGTACGGGCGGGGGAAGGTTGCTGTACCAGTCCAGGCAGGAACACCTCTTCCTGATTTCTGCTAGCAGTTACTGTTACTGCTCTGGGTTGTCACAGCCCTTTGTAATTGCTTTGCGTTTTGTTGGTTCTCCATTTTACTGTGAGCACCTCGGAGACTAGAACGAGGTTTTGCTTAAATGCCTAGCATTTAGCACGGGGTCAGGAATACAGCAGTTCTCATTAAGCATTTGATGGATGAAATAACTGAAAGTATCAAAGCTTTCAGATGGGCTGCAGGGCAGGCTTAGACTTTGGAGGAAGAGTTCTGAGTTCAAGAAGAGACGCTACCCTTATAAGCTGGAACAGTGCTTAATCTCTAACAGGTTTTCTTTAATTATTAAATGGTATTTCAGAGAGTTTGGCACAGTTCCCCGCATGTGGTAAGCGCTCAATTTTTATTATTACTAATTGTCAATTCAGAGGCACAACCCTGTCCCCAGGTTCCTGTGCTGCTGCTGTCCCAGGTGTCATCTCCGTCGTGATATCACGACAAAGGCGCCAACCAAAAATGGCTACCTCTAAGCCATCCGAGGACTCCAATTATCTGTCATGCTGCAGATATATACAGCTAGCAGTGTCAGTAAGAAACAGTGAAGACAACCTCCGTAGCCGTGTGGATGGAAAGCGCGGAGTCAACGCACACTCCCAACCAACTGAAAAAGCGAAAAAGAAAACTGAACGGTCGGAGCTGAGCAAGAGCTCGGGTTTACGAGCACGTGTTGGAGGAAAGTCTGCGCTTGCGCAAACCAGGCGCGCGTCCGCTGGCCGGAAGAGTTGCGCGTTTCCGGGTTGGAGGCGGGGAGCGGTGCCGGAAGTAGTCGGGGAGGGCCGCGCAGTCGGACCGGCTGCTGAGACGAACGCTTCAGTGGGGCAGTCTCCGCATATCATGGGGAGATAGACGCTGCTGCCTGTGAGTCTTGGGCCCTGGCAGTTGAGGAAGAAAAGCGGGAGGAGGGAGTCAGGACCTGGGCCCACAGTGGGTCAGCGTTTGAACAACCACGTTGCGGAGGAGACGGGGCTGTGAGGTTCTTTGGAAGGGACTGAGGGGCTCGGGGCTCGGAGAAGACGCGGCTGTGGGGACCCGGACAGGACTTAGGGAAAGGGGATCGATGTGAGTTCCCCGGCACCTGAGGGAAGCGATCTGAGACGGTTAGGATGTAAGGACCCACGCACCTTAAGAGGAGGGTCTGAACAGAACGGGGCTTGAAGACAAGGGCTCTTGAGGGGTAAAAACAGGGCAGTGAGGACTTGGACTCTTAAGGAACAGAAGCGGGACGGTGAAGACCCAGGCTGCTGAGGATTCAGAAACAGGGCAGCGAAGACTTAGGTTCCTGACGGGCAGAAGCAGGCAACGAAGACTTGGGTTTGGGAGGAAACAGAAGCGGGCAGTGAAGATGGGATCGGAGCTTTGAGACTCCGAGTTCCTGAGGGAGCCGGCATGTGAGGACCCGAGTTCCTAAAAGTGGAGATCAGCCTCCGAGGGAAAGGTGGGGTTAGAAAAGGTATAGGGATCTACTTTTTCTCATATTCTCTGAAGCCAGAGTGGTAAAGGAAGTATTCAGGGGAAGACGACGCCTTCGCGCTGCCTACTTGGCTTTTGGCAGACTTTTCCTTGTGTCAGATACTTAATCTAGAAAGCCCACGTGCAAGCATCTTCGTTTTCTGCTTCATTCTTGCGAAGCTCAGATGTGACGTTGGAAGCAGTTTGAATTCAGTTATATACTTAATAAGTGCTTTACGTACCATTCCACTCAACCCTGATTGAGCACAGTTCTGTACATCTCAAATGAAAGAATGTCAGCGATATAAGGGCCCGAAAAGATTATCTTTTTTTAAACTCCTAATTTACATTTAAGGAGGCTTTGTCCTGAGAGGGCTTAGGATCATGGTGAGGCAATGATTAATTAGATCATAATTTTGTTACAATACTAGTACTCCTCTGTGCCTATCAAATAGAAAATGCTTGGTTAATATTCCATGAATAAATGCTTCTAGATTCTTTGCTCTAACTTCAAACTCAGAACGGAATATTTTACAGATTCTAGTATGTACTTTATTTCGAGACTTGTTGCTATTGATCCAGTGGATGTCACTTACCAGTAAGGAAACCTTTAAATGAATAAAAAAAAAAAAATTTTTAATCTGAAGCCATTTAGAAAATGGCAGATAAATAGGTTATGTCCTGTACTTTTTTAAAATTTTAGATAAAAATATACATAACAAAACATATACGCATTCCACAGTTTTTACATGTACAGTTAGTTCATTGACACTGGTTACATACTTCACATTGTGTCACCATTCTCCCTTTTTCTGTCCATATTGTTTCACGACTATTAAGTTAGAGTCACTGCCCTTTGAAGTTCTCATCTGTATTTTAGTTAATGTTGTCCGTTTGATCTCATATAGATAATACTTTAAAAGAGCTCAGTGCTCAAGCCGAACAGTCTTTATTAAATTAGCTAGATTGTTTAAACACGACTTCATGGGATAGTTTCAATTCAAGGCTTAAAAGTTGTTTCCAGGCAGTAGATTCAGGGATTCTTCCAGTCTCAGCATATCCAGTAAGTCCGGTTTCCAATAAGGATTTGAAGTTCTGTTTCACATTTTTCCTCCTTTTGATCAAGATCCATCTATTGGGACCGTGATTAAAATGTTCAGTAATGGTAGCCAGGTACCATCCATTTCTTCTGGTCTCATGGGAAAGGACATAGTAGTTCATAGAGGCAATTAGACCTACAGTCTGTTTCCTTCTCTGATTCCCAGGTCTCCTTCCTCCAGATGAATAGAGACCAACTCTATCTTGGGTGGCCACTAGCAAGCTTTTAAGACCCCAAGCACTACTCACTGAACTAGGAGGTAGAACAGAAACTCTAAAAACAGTATTAGGCCAATTGACTGGACAGGCCCATGAATCTGTGACCCTAAATCTGTGAATCAAGAAAACTAATCCTATGAGGTGTTTTTCTGTACCTATGTAGTATCAATAGCTGCAGCCTTTTTGCTGGGGGAGGGCTGCTGTTTTTATTGTAAAATTTTATATAACAGTCTGTTTGCCATTTCGCCCTTTTTTTTCCTCGTGTACAACTTAGTGATATCAGTTACAATAGTCAAGTTGTGTAGCCATTACCTTTAGTTGATGACAATTTTCCTATCACCATAGACAAAAATTCAGTACTTCCCAGAGAATAATTCTCCCTGTCCCTCCGCCTTCCCACCCCGGTAACCACTAGTAACCATTGGTTTTTATATATTTACCTATTGTCATTTCATGTAAGTGAGATCATACAATACTTATCCTTTGTCATTGACTTATTTCACTCAGCATAATGTCTTTGCGGTTCATCCATGCTGTAGTATGTATCAGGACTTTATTTTTCTTTAAGGGTGAATAGTATTCCATAGTATGTATTACCTCATTTTGTTTATCCATTCATTTGCTGAAGGGCACTTGAGTTGTTTCTACCTCTTTGCTATTGTGCGTAATGCTGCATTGAACATCGGTGTACATGTCTGTTCAGTAATGGTAGCCAGGTACCATCCATTGCTTCTGGTCGCATGGGAAAGGAGATGGTAGTTCATAGAGGCAGTTAGACCTACAGTCTATTTCGTTCTCTGATTCCTGGGTCTCCTTCTTCCTCCAGACAAATAGAGACCAACTCTATCTTTCAGACTCCTAGAGTATATTCCTAGGAGTGGGATTGCTGGATCATATTAAAAACAAAACAAAACCCGTTGCTGTCAAGTTGATTCTGACTCATAGCTACCCTATAGGACAGAGTAGAACCGCCCCTAGGGTTTCCAAGGAGCAGCTGGTGGGTTTGAACTGCCGACCTTTTGGTTAGCTGCTGAGTTCTTAACCACTGCGCTACCAGGGCTCCACTGGATCACGTGATAGCTCTATTTCTAACTTTTTGAGGAATCGCCATACTGTTTTCCACAATGGTTATACCATTTTACGTTCCCACAAGCAGTGGATAAGAGTTCTAGTCTCGCCACATCTGTTATTTTCTGTTTTTTTTTATCATTGCCATTCTAGTAGGAGTGAGATGGTATCTCATTGTAGTTTTGATTTACATCTCTCTAATTGCTAAGGAGGAGCCCTGGTGGTGGCAGTGGTTAAAGTGATCGACTGCTAAGTGAAAGGTTGGCAATTCAAAACCACCAGCCACTCTGCGGGAGAAAGATGGGGCAGTCTGCTTCCATAAGGTTTCAGCCTTGGAAACCCTGTGGGGCATTTCTACTCTGTCCTATAGTGTTGCTATCAGTCAGAATCAACTCGATGACAACCTGTTTGGTTTTTTGGTTTTAACGGCTAATGGCGGTCATCTTTTCATGTGTTTGTTGGCCACTTGAGTTTTCTCTTTGGAGAAGTGTCTGTTCAGATCCATTTTTGATTGAGTTATTTGTCTTTTTGTTGTTAAGTTGTGGCAGTTTTATATATATTTTGGATATTAAACCTTTATCAGATATGTGGTTCCCAAAATTTTTTTCCCAGCCTATAGGTTGTCTTTTTCCTCTTTTGATAAAGTCTTTTGATGAACACAAGTATTTAATTTTCATGAGGTCCCAATGATCTATGTTGTCTTCTGCTGCTTGTGCATTTGTTGTCGTATTTGATAATCTATCATTAAAAAAAACTAGGTCTCATAGTTTTACCCCTATATTTTCTTCCAAGAACTTTACAGTAGTACCTAAAAAAATAAAATACCTAGGAATAAATTTAACCAGGGATGTAAAGGACTTACACGGTGAAAACTATAAAATACTGCTGCAAGACCCTAAGATAGACTTCAATAAATGGAAAGATAGTTTGTGCTCATGGATAGGAAGACTTAATACTGTGAAAATGTCAGTACTACCCAAAGTGATCTATAGATTCAGTGCAGTCCCAATCAAAATCACAAAATCCTTTACAGAAATGGAAAAACTTCTTCTTAACTTTACATATAAAGGAAAGAGGCCCTGCATAGCCAAAGCAATTTTGAAAAGGAACAAAGTAGGAGGCCTCACACTACCCAATTTCAAAACATACTAAATAGGTACAGTAATCAAAACAGCCTGGTACTGGTTTAGTGATAGACACATCGACCAATGGAATAGAATTGAGAGCCCAGAAATAAATTCGTAACATCTATGGACAACTGATCTTCGACAAGGGTGCTAAGTCCATTCAATGGGGAAGGAACAGTCTCTTAACAAATAGTGCCGGCAAAATTGGATTTCCACATGCAGAAAAATGAAGTAGGACCCATATCTCACACCATACACAAAAATTGTTAGAGCTAAAGCAATAGAGGTCTTGTCCTATACTTTTAACATAAGCACGTACTGGAAATGGCTGCTTTGAGATAAGGCTAGCAGAGAGACTTGGAGCAGTCACTAGCCTATCTCAGTCACTTCCCTTCTCCAATAATATCTTTTATTAAAATCTGCTCAGACTTACGTGATCATAAGCACTTTCAAGTGTTATATTATTTAATTATCACAGCCGCACAAGTTAAATATTGTTAGTACCATTTTACATGTAAGGAAATAGGTTCAGAAAGGTTCAAAGAGGTTAAATTACTTGCCTGAAACTACCTGGTACTTAGTGGCTGAACCCGAGTTAAATCCAGTTATATGTGCTTCTACTTTTATAAGTGGGTTCTTCTGCACATCTCAGTTTGCCCATCAGCAAAACAGAAGTGATAGTTATATGAAGCACATCTTTGAAAGACATCCCTCCCTCGCTCTTTAAGACTCCTCTTGATGTCCAGTACTGCAGTTTATTAGGGTACTTATGGAGTGTGGTATTTGGAAGAACTAAATTCCTGTGTTTTCACAGAAGCATAGCTATTCAAGATAGAAAAACGGAGCCTGTGTACAACTTTTCCTTGTGATGCAGTAAGATATATTTAATTTTAAATT